CAAGCGAGCGATCTCGTCATTTTGGCGTGGAATGACCCAAATTGATTCGTAGCATCGGTATGGAACTGCTCCTGGTATAACACTGTCTTCGATACCTGTTCTTTACTTCCATATACCTGTATATGAACAGTGGCAAGAGTATAGCCAAATGATGCTCGGGATACACTGACCATTCAGTTTCGTGAGCATTGTTTTCAGTTACAATCTCTCAGTGATCGAGTAGAAATGGTTCATTTTTTTCCTCGGAATTTCCTGGGTGAAGGCAAAGGCAGGAACATATGGTCCCATGCACTCATTAATCTATTGAACCATGGCAATCCATCCATAACTCGGCCAAGTAAGAGAGCTATTACATTTGAATATATGGTGCTGGATTATGACATTGATTAGTGCGGTTTTCTACGGTTCTGCCTGGCAACTGCATTGTTTCACAGAGCAACGAGCTCCTGGGATAAAACATTAATATCCACATTTTCCTCTTTGTTATTGAGTTCTGCTTTTTCCTTGGATGATGAGACTTCAAGCATCCAGTATGTAACTAAATTTTTTTTCCAAACCCCATAAAAAGATCGTAAGTCATAATAGATGAGATCAGTTTAAACCCTCATGGTCTGCACAGGGGGCTTAGAACAGTTGCATCAAGTAGTCACATATCAAGGTAGCGGGTTTATCGTGGGCAGCAATGGCTTATTCCTTGACAGTTATATTCCTTGACCTTGCCAGTAAATGAATGAGTTTTGGCCCTCGTCGAGGCACGTTACATAATAAGTATCATCTTCACCTTACCTTTTCCACCTTTTCCACACTCCTTACCAAAAATAGGGTGCTGGCTTTATAATAATCCTGCGTAAACAGGGTGGGCCAAGAGTCAGGGCAAAATAAGTGTTTTATGATGTTTTGTTTCATTCATTTAGTTTATTTATTAATTAATAGAAATATTATTAAATATAAATTATTAATATTATTGTTCAATACAAATTAATTATTTTATAAATGCATAAATATCTTACATGCATGTAATTTTCCTGGCTCATCTTGAAATAAATGAAGCAAAATATCATAAAAATGTCAAGTTTGTCTTGGCTTTTGCCTAAACTGTACATGCAGGATTGTAATAAAGCCACCACCAAAATTTGATAGCCAATAACTTTTCACGGGATACAGCTGATATTTCGCAGAAAGGTTGAAAAGCCTCAAAGGTTTTCCCCCCATTTTTACAAAATCAAGGAAATGAAGGTTTATTCAAAAGAAAATGGGGCTTTAAAATAGAAATATGATTACTATTCCTTTGGAGCTACTGCAATTTCTCTGCCTCCTCCAAGGCAAAGCGGGAGAGTCCTCCAAGGAGAATTTTTTGCGAAGATTACCAGTTATTCACTGGAAGAGAGGCCAGAAGGCTAGAAAAAATATGCTACGAGCATACTGCAACAAAATATCGGATAATGTTCAAGGGCATAATATACATTTGCATGTAAACGTTGTTTGGCTCTTCGTCAAGTTTTTCACGTGACAATTCAGATCTCTTGAAAACGCGTTTTTATTCTTCGTTGCGTCTCTTGAGGATTTAGTGCCTTTTTTATGCTTAGGGAGGACTGAAACAAGGGGTCAAACCCCTTGTTCGTGGAACAAGGAGTCTAGGCTTTTTAAAGTCGATGCGTAATTGCCAATGCAAGTGCGTCATAGACCCGGCCACGTGCCAAATCTAGATTCGGCGCCGCTACCTCTGACAATCGGGAATGAACGAGGGGAGGTACTCCTTGGTACCTAAGAAGCCCTAGTACGTCAGTGAACGGCTCAGCGGCCTTGGCCATACTGCTCAAAGGTTACAAGTTCAGGAGTTTGCAGGTTTATAAGTAGGAACTTGTATTTAGAACTATTTGTGAGTTTTACTTTCTTGAAAATCTTGATGGGAGCGCTTAGGCTGAATTACTGCGGTGTCAGAGTTTAGAAGTCCACAAGAGAACGTGGCGACCACACTGGCTCTATTTTCCCTCATTACGGAGAGACTTTCGTTCGGAGCGTTCAGAGACAAACCTCCCAATGAAAGGTGAGCATCTTAGGAACTCACATTACCAAGCAGATGGAGCGGTTGCCAGTGCGGCCGGGAACCTGAACCACATCAATTATAGAAGCATCATCTAAATTAGTGTAAAATTAATGCAGCCACTAACTTCAGGCATTCCAAGTCGCGCTTGAGCCAATGTTTAAAACTTTGTTGCGATCCCAGCAACATCCTTGGTATGGAAGTTCACGTGGATAGGGATAACATCCTTGGTGAAGGAAGGAATTTCGTGCTGTGCTTTTCCACAGTGCTAAGTTGGAAATTAAAAAAATTCGTTTTCTGTGATGGTTGGTTGCAATATCGTCATATCTCGCACCTGATGATGAAGGTACATCTGATGAAGGTAAGCTCAGGCAACACCAACACGTATGAACCAACGCGACTGTCAAGGTTTAAGTTGCACCCACAAATGACTGATCTTTGTCCATGAACCGGGATTAAGTATACTCTTATGACGGCTTCGTTTTTCCACAGATAGTTGGAGTCACCATAGGATGAGACATGAAATAGCTTATTGTTCTTATTTTTTTTAACGGGGTCGCGGTATGGCGCCTTGGCTGTGGTATAAGCGGTGTCCTACGGTTTCCATACGGTGATGGCGGTATGAGAATACAGGTAGGTGGTATTCCATGGATTTTATACTGTGGCGGTAATATCGAAAAATGCAGAAAAGGTCAGTATGGTTATCACGAGCACGGAATACCGCTGTATGATGAAAAGACTAGTAAACAGCAACACCCCGGAAGAAAATATGAAGTTTAAGGTTAAGTTTATGTTTAAGCTGCATATACGCAAAGAACCGTGTTGTCTGGTTGCTATGGATAATGCAGATATGGGGAATTTGAAATACGACAGACCAATTGTAATATCTGCCTTTGCCCCATAGTACCTACGGAAATGGCAGATAAAAAAATTACTAGATTTCTCGCACTTGCCCATAATCCTGTGTTGGGTCTTTGCAAAACAGGCAGTGAAAAGGTACATCTTTCTGGTGGTGAAAAAATAGCTAAACAAGGTTAGTTTGTTTTGCAAGTATGTTCCTGAGCAATGTGAAAGAAAATCCAAAGCGCTGCATTTGGACGTCAGTCCACTTTTAAGAGTTGTGTGCATTGAGGACGAAATCGGAACGGTTTCAGAATACCATTGCCACCTGGGCTGCATTTTCCAGAGGTAATTCAAGTAGCATTGTGTTGATTTCGATGTTCCTCATCACCTTCTAACAAAGAGCTTCCCTACATTCCCAAGAACGCTTCTTTGTCCGTTAAGATATTCATGCGATGTCATGACATGAGAATGTCCCTCCCGATTGAATAACAATTTCGTTTTGAATCGAACTTCAGTTTTTTAAATGATTCGGTGGGACTCAATTCTTTGCTTTCGCTTTGATTAAGCTAAATTAATTTTGCAGAATACCGTAGACTGCCTAATTAACATCAACCTATAGATTATTCCAGCTGATGAGGGGTTTCCTTTGAAGTTTATATACGAGGGTGATGCACTCGATGAATATACGTATAGATGTCGCTGAAATCAGAGGTGCAAATGGCGAAGAGCTTACCACAAGTGTGCATGGAACGAACAAACGTTTGTACACTTTCTTGGACACATTTCAGCTGGTAGGGAAACATTTGTAGTGTTTACCTTAGAACCTTGGCACGGTTGAATGGGGAAGGTGTAGAAGGCGAGCGACTGCACGACTGCTGCTCGTTCCATGTGCACTTTTGCTAGGCTCTTCGTCAATCGCGCCTTCGATTTCAGCAACAAATCTATAGGGGTTCACGGCCTGTCTTCATGCGGCTTGTTACAAACACAACCCGTCTCCTCGAACTCATCGACCAAATTCATCAGGGCTTATCTCGAGCAGGACCCCAAACGCAGGCTGTTTGCCACGTAGTATTTTCGCAAGGCATTACACTTGTTGGTGTAGAAAAGCTTTATTAGTTCGCCTCTCTACTTCTTAGTCAAAGTCAACATATTTCTATCTATGACCGAAAATTATTACATACTTTCAGTAGTGGTTCAATACAGCCAGGAGTGCAAATATGGGGGGAAAAATAAAAGTAAAAAATTTTTCGCAAAACACTCTCAAATAAAATCCCATGACATCCTGAGTATCCCCCTAAAATTTCACTGTCCTACGCCTTACCGTTCCGGAGACATCGAACGTCAAAAGTGTAGATTTTTTTATGGACACTCTGTGTAACGAACTTTCTTTTTATTTTTTTGCTTATTTCCTTCTGGTTCGTTATATCGAGCGTCAATTGGAGATGGAATCAGTTCCATACAAGTGTAACAAAGTTTCTCATCATCAACTCATGTCAAAAAGTTGGTACTTCAGCTATATCGTCCACGTTTTTATTGTCACTGCACTGCATAGTTTCACGACAGTGAAACTATGAAGTGCAATGACATTTAACATATCAAATTTTCATGCATTTTTTTATCGTTTAGATGCCCTTTACACATGCTGATACTTAGGAATACACGTGAAGCTGGGACGAGTGGAAACGTTCTGCCAAAATTTTTCGAGATGAAACATGCTGATTCTTAGATGATTTTCGTCGATGCAGGCGGAATCTAGCCAGATACAGTTTCCACAGACAAAGCATCCATCTAAGCATCCAATTCCTGGAATGTTGGAAAATGGATGACGTACTTAAGTTGTTGGTACCGAAAAAGTTTTACTAGCCTTGTGATGGGGGAATGATTAAGTTCAATTCCTTTTTTGTCATTGTCATTCTCTAAGTCGGCTTTTCCCTCCCTTGGCAGGGTCATGGGCGACTTTTTGACTCCGGTTTTAATTTCCTGTCTGTTTTGGGCTGGATCCTCCTCGCATATCCTCGTGTATCATGCCGTGTATCAAGGGCGAAGATACGGGAATGTATCACACCAGTTTCAAGCGAAGAACTTCGAGGACTGCCCAGTCAAGTGCTCTAGGATGAACCCGTCTCGGCCTTGTCTGGCATTCAACTTCAGGGAAAGGGATGGATTTTGTCAGCTGATTCATATTGAGAAGAGCAGTCTAGTTCCCTCGGATGGATACCAGGCATACGTACAGTGTGGGTATAAATATTATTCATGGCTATGAAGATGTCGGTTGATTTTCGGTCATTCAAATAATATTGGATCTTTTCAATGTTGTTTCGCATTAGACACTTTGAATTCGAACCCTTTGGAAATGCTAACGCACTTCGAATGATGGCACAACGTTTCATGTGACAACTGAGTGTTAAGAGAAAAGCAAAGGTTTAAGACAGTGATGGGGCTAAGTACCAGTCGTGTTGGTCTACCTGGTGGAAAGAAGTCCAGTTTTTTAGTGCTGTTTTGCTCTATTCGCTCACCGATTTACCAGAATTGTGATCACTCTCAAAACTGGGACGAGCGCTGTAGTACTTAGCATAAACAGGGAACTCTCAATAATTTCATGAGGTTGTTGACCGTGACCTATCAGTGTAATATAATCCTTTTCATACTAGTTCTAGTTCATTGCATGCATTTCGGAATAACAGTGATGAATGTGACGGTGTTGCAAGTATGCATTCTTTTATGTGTTCTTGTCACAAATCTATTATAAATGCAGTTCTCTGCTTGACGGATTACCCGAGGATCGAGCACGCCGAAGAATCCTTCGTGTCTTGGACGGGTAAGCATCCCAGCCCGCCGGGTGGGGAGGTGAAATTCTCGTGCAAGCACCCGCGAGGGTTCAAAGATGGCTTGAAGGAACACCACGCCACCTGTTCGTCGGTTGTAGCTGATACATGGCGCACGACGTTCATCGAAGGCGAAAAGGATCTCTGTCCTAAACCTCGTGAGCATGTGTCTTGGTTTCAGTCGAGTTAGACACGAACTAACTCCATGAGCATGGGGGAAATATCTAGACATAAGAGATTCTTGCTACCAAAGATCGGTCGTCGTACCTCAGCGTGTAAAAGTTGAGCACAGGACCGGGGTTCGGTGACAGAGTTGTTCTGGTTGCCGGGTGAAACCTGGGAGGCGAGGGATCGAGTCCGTGTGGCGGAGGAATCTTTCTCCACCGACAGGAGACCCATCTGCTTTTCAAGGGGGGGTGACTGCTTAGCTTGGGATTAGATTAGATTCTCCTAGACGTGGCACACTCTGTGTGCCACGTCTAGGAGAAGCCGGTGCAATTCACCTTAAAAATCACTCGTGCCAGTTATGGGCTTAGGCAACTAGTGAGATGCCCTTTTGGCCTCCTATATGACCGTGGAGCGGTGACCCAGTCTTGGGGACTGTGATACGGATGCTGTGCCCGTGCCAAGCAGGCACCCCCTTCCCCTCTGTGTATTGTGATAGGTCCCTTGTCGTTTGTGACTTCGCATGTCCTGTCTTTAAGTCTTTAAATAAGGAATGAGTTGAGCACTAGTGAGTGATATGGGAACATTATTGGAGGCATATCGCAACCATTCTGTTTGCATAGACCGAGGAAAATCGGGGGAAGTCGATGATGGAAAGGAGTATGATATCTAAGGAGAGAAGGAGCATTTCTCGACATAGTGACTTCATTCCAAATGTACCATGAGAGTTTCCTTCTTTTCCCAAAAAATAGAGTGGTTAAAAAGAACGCGTTGCCGTTTCTTGCGGGAGAAACACTAATAACAACACGAAGACATTCAAACAAATAAATTGATATTTGACACTTACAAGGTGTCGAAATGCTTGCGAGCTTTTTTTTTAGCACCCCTGCCTAAGTCGTAGAGAACTTCAACATTTCCACAAAAGTACTCCTCAGTGGAAATTGGGCACATTAGATCATCGCGTCAGTCTGATATTGCATCGATGATGTAATGGCAAAATTAGGAAGTCAATATTGAGCCAATATTTAGCCGGTATTGGCAATAATGGCAAGATCGAACACATCGTGCCCAATGTTTGTCCAGCATTGACCTAATATCTGGTGATACTGGGGTAGTAACATTGGATAGGTTCTTGATCGTTCTGCGAATAATTTTTTTCCCATGATATCACAATTAATATTATTTTAAAATGCGATTTAAAAAGGTATCATAATGCAATAACACTGCTACAAAATTCACGCAACGTTGGTCTTTGACCTTCAACGTCGATGGCACTGCATTGACTCTGGGGGAACGTTTCCACAACGCTACTATGTTTGCTGGGGACCCTAGAATGAACGTCCCCTTTCCAGCTTCATATCTCGGCAATGGAGTATATGGAAATATAATGTTCATGATTTGTGCGAGGAGAGATTAGCTTGAGGGATCTGGAGAATCGGAGAGAAACCTTAATACTTGAAATATGGAGTTAGTAGTATATAGTGGACTCATTAGGAAGCTGGCAGCTTGTATACCGAGTTGCAATGCGTGACATTGAGGCATTTTTCAGTATCGTGCGTGACCGAGTACTCCAACATGGAAAACATGGACGTGGCATACGAGGCAGGGAACGGGAAATACCCAGCGCCACCGGGCGCCGCCGTCATTTACACCTGCCGTCGTTCCTCGGGTTTCACGGATGGATCCCCCACGATGTGGCGTTTATCAACACGAACACATCATTTGCTCTGGCAAATTATGTTCCATCAGAATGAAGAATTGAGATGCATTTAAGAAAGTGCAAGAAATAGCGCGTCGTCGGGGCATTTCTCATTAAATTCTGCAAAAGGAACTCATCGTACTACGGACAGCAGTTCTCAGGAGTCTTGAATTGCAGTAAAAGAGTGGAATTAGGAAATTCATCTAGTTCCATATTTCTAATAGGAACTAAATTGTACATGAAATCCCATGGATAAATCTGCATTTAGTGATTAATCTGCATCTATCGTGCTCAGTATCCCTTAAACTTTGTTATCCACGTGTGGATTCCTAGATAAGCCAGTTTATCCCGAATGCCGACTGACTGAGATGGGGAAGGAATACATCGGGACCTTGGACGTGACGGAGACCGGAAAACAGTGCCTCAGATGGGATTCCCCGAATGTGAAAATGTTCTACTCTACAGTTGCGGAGGGGTTCGATAGATACATGTTTTTCGAAGAGCATTTCCTGAACCAGGACCCATCCTCCCACGAAAATTTCTGTCGGAACCCGACATTGAAAAATATGCCCTGGTGTTTCGTCGAGATTGACGGCCTGAAGTGGGAATATTGCTCGATTCCTTTTTGTGATGACCTGAGTGAGTGTCTACCTGATGCTCAAATCTGTTCATCAAGAAACAACAATTGCAATATTCTACGCGAAAATGCTGAAAATGGACAAAATATTTCTATTGGCTTAATATTCCTTCAAAAATTCAACTTAGAGCAAGAAAACTAAAAATACTATTCAGAGTGTCAAATGCTGTTTGATCGCATTGATGAAATTCTTCTTGAAGATCACACCTGATTTTTTTTAAGTGGAAAGAATGAAACCAGATGGCAAATAAATGACTCGCCATCAACTTGAAACAAAGCGCTCGAACTTGCGCGTTTTTTGCATAGGTTAACTTGGGGGAAATGGCCATTGGGGTAATATGGCCCTTCACAGTGAATCCCTATACAGAATGAATAATTAGTTTGGGCGAATTTTGGAAATAGTTCTTTCGAAGAGTGCATAAAATTGTCGAAGTGTTCAGACCTGTTCATTGATCCAATTCTCACTGGAATTCGGGATACATAGATTTCTTCTAGTCACATGCATGCGATTCTTCAACTCACGTCCCTGAAACTAATTTGGGCCTAGAACCACTGCACGAAATATGCAGTTCATGAGGAATCGGTGCATCAGGATACGCACATGCGCCGCCTCTTTGACATCCACTTGACATGCATCAGACATTTTTGAGGTACGAAATGTGAATGCAAGTAAATAACCCTCGTACATCTCGTACATGAAGTTAAAATGAAGTGATGAACATGATCTTAAGGATAAAAAATATTGCTGAATGCCCTTAGGGTATTCTGCAATTTTTTTTTGCCACTATTTATGCATGCGTGCAAAAGCTCCACAACGTTTTTCCATCAATGTAATTCCTCTTATTTCATACTCATAACGCATGTTCACTCTGAACTATGTTTGAACCCTTTTCTTACACCCCCAGTTCGTACATACACTCTCCCAACACATGCAATGCTACTTGAAACAAAAAACGTTGCAATCCAGCTTTACGCAGCAGGTCCTCGAGTCAGGTAATAATGTCGACTTCTTTGCTTCTTCTCAATGCAGTTAGTGTTTCTTTTTCAACTCCTGAGGGTCCTTTATTATGTTTAAAGGTATTCAGCAAGTTCCGGCATATTTCACACGTTCCTGGAAAATCTGAAGTTGCTTTTTCAGAAGTGGTCAAATTCCCCAAATTATATGGGTATTATGGCCTCTTGAGCCCAACTTGAAAAGGATCCAAAGGCGTAATATCCATGTGGTATTTTACATTTCCCTTCCTGGGATTTAGTAAAGGAGACATGAATCAATATTTTAGAAACTTTGCAAAACTGAAATTTGACCTTGACGGGCCGTTATGACCAGGTTTCATTTTGTAGGGCCATATTCCCACAAGTTACCATATATACGGGAAGCCGGGACGACGTGAGAAAACTCATTTTACTACCATGGAAAATAATCAGCTATTCTCTTGTTTCGTCCGGAAGTCACTCTAGAACTTTTAAAAAGGTTGCGTTTCTACAAAAACGGTTGCCGATTTTTTTATCAGCTGCCCCAGAATGCAAGAAGACTCAAAAGGGAGCTGAATATGTGGGGGCACAAAACAAAGGGATATCTGGCTCTACTTGCCTTGCTTGGCTTCGTCATGAGGGGGTGATTCCGGAAGAAATGTTTGCATTGAGGGGGCAGGCATTCCCCGATACCCTCACGGATGAGCACAACTACTGCCGGAATCCGACCGGGAAGCCAGGCGGTCCCTGGTGCAAAGTTCCTGATCCCACAGGCACTGGGTATGATTGGGAGTATTGCGATGTGCGTCTCTGTGCCGTGCCAGACGCGAAGAGGACATGCGAGACGGAGGGACGATGCGCGTCGAGTAAGTAACATAACTTAAAGAACTTACATTCGTTAAGCTTTGTATTCGTATTCGTTAATGAATGTCGATACCGATTAGAATCAACATTCTTGATCCATGACAACTTTCAATGTATTTGTCCCGAAATTTATTGATATAAATGCCGATATGATATTGCTATGATGCTCTGGCCTTCAAAGACTAGGAACTTTAAAACATTCTTAGACACTTCCATTGTTAAATTCTAGTCCCGTTACGATACCTCAAGGTCGCCAAGAATTGAAAACCCAGCCGCGCTCTGACTACTGCCTCTCAAGTCCGTATGAAAACATTGTGGAATTTCAAGTGGTCGTGAAACTTGGCAGCATGACGAGATGGAACCCAAATCGGTCCTATTCGAGTCATACGACTCGAGTCGGGCCTGTTCGGTGCTCTCATAGTTCACTACGTTCCACAGGTAGTTTCTTGCCCGAGAGTGACGTCATTTGATGACGTGATCGCATCGAGACCTGACGGAACGAGGCGTCTTATTGTCTGCAGCTGCAAAACGCTTGAGAAAAATACTCTTCTGAGTATATTCTAGCGTATTCGCCTTCACCCAACATGAAACTGGATTGCCAACCGATCGGTCGGGTCTGCCTGAAAAATCTCCATTCCCTGTGTAGCTCGAAATCATCCCCCGCACTCGAGTGAGAGGAGTCTCACTCATTGGGGGGGATCTCGCTAAATAATTTATTTATAGGAACAGGGATTTGGGGTGACATTAGTTCAAAGTCAATCGGCGGTCTCTGATGACGGAAGAATCAAACAATCTTCATCTCTTTATCAATGACTCCAAATTTGGCAGTTCAAAAAATACTGCGAAATGGCTTATTTGAATGCCATTCGACTGAATCCCATTAACCGCAATCAGACATGAATATTTCACGGGTTGCGTCTTCCTGTCCGTCCGCCTGAGGCTTGCGCGGGTCAACTTTTCCGAAACCGACCCGATCGGTTGGATTCGATTCGTGGTTTTACCAGACCCAAAACTGCATCGTCGGACCGAAATTTACGGAAACCTCCCCGCGGGGTCGTGTTGGGCCGATCGCGCCAACCCAAAGACCCAATCAGGCCTCTGAGTTTAGTACTCGGGGTCTCCGGATTCGTCGTCCTTCTGAGCGGCGCTGCTGACGCATCTAGCTTTCCAAAGACGTCGCGTTCGTGTCGCCCTGTCGTGTTATCACAGTTCACTGCGTTCCGCTGCCAGCTACTTGCATGAAGGTGACGCCATTTAAAGACGTGCGCTGACGGAACGAGGTGCCCTTTTTTGAAGAAAAAAAAAAACATCTGATAGCATATTCAGCATGAAAATATTTTTGCGGACCGAGCTTCCGGCCCGATCCGCGGGTCGCGTCAGTTCATTTGAGTTTAAACTCGGGGACTTAGAAGAGGTATTTGAGATCCATGAGTATGGGAAGCATCTTCCCTCCATCTGATGCAGCACTGTTCCTAATTCCTACTATTTGTCTCATCTAATTGTTATAGAACCAAACCTGTATTTTGCAATATAGGGAATTTCTGAGATTGATTTAAGGAAGGGGGGAGGGGGAATAACGGAGCGCATCCAATATTATTCATTCGAAATATGGCCTTTGAAAATTCCAACTGTTTCATTTACATTTTTGGTAACTGAAGCCCATTAACCTCAAATACGAAGATGTGAGTATCTCACAGGTAGAAGCAAGTACTCAAAATTCCTAAACTATTATCCTACTTGATATTTACAATGTATTATTTTAAATATTACCTACAAATTAGTGCAGAAGAAAAGCTTCATATACTCATTTGTAAGTTATCAATGTAAAATAATCCCAATTCCGTAAGAACTTCTTATGCTTATTCCTCATAATCAATAGCATTGTCTAAACACGAACACATATTTTGCAGGTGGAGTAAAGGCTTCGCGAATATATCCGGAATGCAGAATGACCCCAATGGGGAAGGAATACCGAGGAACCCTCCGTCGAACAGAAAACGGAAAGAAATGCCAGCTCTGGAGTATTATATCGAGGAAGGATGCCGATAAAGAAGACCTGCTTGATTTCCTCTACTCTTATCACCCTTACCACGAACGCAACGAGGTACCAAGGGACCTTCAAGAGTCAATTCTCAAAATCGTTGCAAACCAGGAGAGAAACTACTGCCGGAACCCTGCGAGGGCCGAGCGACCATGGTGTTTCGTTTCCATCACGCCTTCTTTGAGCTGGGGATATTGCGACATTCCCTTCTGCCACCGCCCAAAAGGTCTGCGATTCTCCGAGAGTATGAATTGAACACTATAAGCAACGTGAGAGGTATCATCATTCTTCGAATAAATTCATTCCTGATGAGAACTAAAATAATCTGAATCTTCACAAATACATGATGATGCAGGGGTTCCTGCTATTCACGTACGACCATTTCCACAAATCCATCGTCTTATGTCATGACTTAAAATGTGATACTTCAATAAAATAGACATTAAGTGAGATGGGACGTCACAAACTAACGAAAGGGGAATGTATGAAGTTTAAACTAACCGGAATAGTAATTTGATTAAAAACGAACTGAATAAGTCCTCCAAATGGCCAAAGAGGGGAGAGATTATTTATTCTGTTAACCATCAGAGCCCGTGGAATGTCGATTGACCAATGAGGGACTGGATTATGCGGGAATCAAGAACGTTGACTCAGACGGTCGGAAGTGCCTACCCTGGTTGAGTCGGGCACACGACAAGCGATTTGCATTCATGGACTTGATGACATTCCCTGATGAAATCGTGGATAGCAGCCACGACTACTGTCGGAATCCTGACGCAGACAGCGCCGGTCCATGGTGCTTCAATGAGGAGGGAACTGGCGAAGGATGGGGGCGGTGCACGGTTCCATTCTGCTCTCAATTGTACGAGCGATTCGCCGTCGAAGGTAAGCTCTTCTGCTCGTTCGTACTCATGGTGAGCAACCTTTATCTAATGCGAGTGTTTCATGAATGAAGAACTCAGAGTGACTTCCAAATTTATTTAATATTTTATTTTAGTGTCCTATAAGGGAAATCTTTCACTGTCTTCTTATTTCGTTTTGTGTTTTGCGCCGCAACAATTTTAAGTCAATATTTCTAGGTTAGCTACCCATTCGATTGCTTCTGGGACTTCTGAATGGATGTCGTTAATGCCACGTTTGAATGCTCTGACTAGAAAGTCGTTCACAATATATTGTGTAGTTTCCGTTTCTAATCTGACGGAAAGCTGTTCCAAGGAAGAAGTGATGCCAATTCCTGCAGGTGCAAGGCGCATTTGGCGTGTTTCGAATATTCTTACGCGAAAATTCTGACAGGTAAACCGGCGGAAGGATATCCGGAATGCTTGCAGACGGCAATGGGGAAGGAATACGTGGGCACGACAAGAAAAACAAAAACCGGAAAGCCCTGTCTCCGATGGGATTCCCAGCCCTATGGAAAGCCTGATGACTTTGTCCAAAATATACCTTATGAGGCTCATTTTCGATTCGGCAATTCCACGTTGCATCATGATTTCTGCAGAAACCCGACGTTGAGGCATCAACCTTGGTGCTTCGTTGAAGATGCAGGCATCGAATGGGAATTCTGCCATATCGGATTCTGCCCCAACTACCCTAGTGAGCCCACTCCAATCCATTATATTATGCTGCATTTCAAATGGATAGGCACGAAGTTTGACACCACCGAAACTCCTTGGATGTAGACGCTCTGTTACGGTCCCAGTGCGCTTCTATGTTGCAAAAATATTATTCAATTTCAGCCAACCCGTGAGAGGTTCCAAATTGTATGGATGAAGCGTTAAATGGCAAAGGGAAAACTAACTTAAGATATTCAACAGTTTATCGGTCGTTGCTCTCATGAATTATAAAATTCGATCCTCGATGAGGCGCATGGTGACCGAAGGGACGTTTTCTTCCGAACAGCGAGAAATGGTCTTTTACGATTAAAAACAATTAGTACTAGATATTTACTCGTTGGATAGTTCCGTGTGCCCGCCCGATACGACACGAATCTCCTATTCATACGTCATCCAGCAACGGATCACGTACCATAATATATATCCTGTATTGTTTTCGACCGGCCGGCCCGTTTTCGCAGCGACATTTCTTGTCATTCATCTATATCCTTCTATTATATTTCTATATCTTTTTTTCTTCTCTCTACCAGACAAGACGGAATGCAGATGGACGAAGGAGGGAGAGGAGTATGCAGGGACACTAAATAAATCACTGGAGTTGCCTTGTGAGCAATGGCAAGATGCTGCGTTGCTGGAGAGACATTGGCACAGATTCCCAGAGGGCGTGAGGAGCGAGAATCACAACTTCTGTCGCAATCCGGATGGGCGTGAGACCGGGCCCTACTGCTTTGTCGGGGAATCTCTATTTGAAAACTGTGACATCCCTTTCTGCCCTTTCCACTACCTCTACTAATGTTCCTACGTCAGTGAAAGATGTATTGACGCAATGGAAACGAATGGGTGTTCACGAATAGCTGGTAGAACCAATTTTCACTGTTTTACGAGGTCTGATCAAAAAGTTTCAGTACTTTCATTCGTAAACTTTATTTTAATAAGTACATTAAAATTAATTGTTGTCCCCTTCAAAGTATTCTCCCTTCGAGGCTATGCACATATCCCAACGCTCCTGCAACTTCTGGAAGCAGGGCTGAAAGTCCCGGAATGAGTGTTCACGAACAACTGGTCGCACCAATTTTCATTGTTTTATGTCCACTATTCGAAACCTGTGTAGTCGCCCGTATTCCAAATCAGCTCCTTTCGTTCCTTGAATTGCCACTTTTGCATGGTCTGGAAATCTTATGACCCACAATTTGAAACCTGTGACATCCCTTTCTGCCCTTTCCACTACCTCTACTAATGTTCCTACGTCAGTGAGAGTCGTATTGATGCTATGGAAACGAATGGGTGTTCACGAATAGCTGGTCGCACCAATTTTATCAGTTATATGTACATGAGTCGAAACTCGCATTGTCGCACGTAGCAGCTCCTCTCGTCGCTTCGCTCCTTAACTAAGGCCTGATGAACCGGTTAACCCTGGAACTAGGGTTATAAGATTAATATAAAATGTATGGTACAGTATGACATTGAAGTCAGCTGCGAGATAGTGAGGAAGAGACGCAAAATCGGCAAACAGGCCCAATCGCAATTCTCCACAGTTATCATATTTGAAATGCATTCAATTTCGTTCCCAATGGATTGATTCCCATTCTTTCTCGCCACTATCGCACTCCCTGTGGGTGAGTCTTTCTCGCCCGCACCCCTCTCTACCGTGATTTCTCATGGGATATGCATTTGACGTCCTTCATGTAGAGGCACGAGTTTTCGTCCTTAGTGTTTTCCCCCGAAGACTTGGTGCCTTTATGACCATTGACCTCTAATATTTGAAAGGGGAATGTCACTCAAAAAAGCAACTTCGCCACCAAATTCAGAGGGTTTTATGATCGCTAAAAAAAAAAACCTTTTTTTTTATGTGTAATGACTTAGGTAACCCAAGGTGGCCCTGAGCCACATCGGTAAAAGGGTTACCAAGCTCATTCGTCCTGATGTCTCATCCCAAGGAAGCATGAGGTCCAAGTTTCAGGGTCAGGAGTCATACCGTCTCGGAGGAGAAGCGGACTCACACAGGTTCATTAGTAAAATAGATACTCGGGAGCATGCGAATGTCACTTCTATTCCCTTCCTCCATTGTGTCTATTCCTGCTTCTTGTCTCAGTGTTGTTCTTCTCTCCTGTCCCTTAAAATAAAAGATTATTGCTTTAATATTGCTTTAGTATGTGTTGATTAAGTTTACGAACGGCGAACTTACAGGTACCTGAAGTGCTAGTGCCAAAATGTTATTTGGTTGCATTCACATCTTAGACAGGTGAAACAAAGTATGTGACGCTCTTGCACCTTTTTTTTTTCGTTTCCATGTAATTCGAGCTCCGAAAGTTGCCCGAGACAAATATGTTCCTCAGCTCCATATTCGCTGCTGCAAATGCAGGACTCTAATCGTGATCATGGTGATGCTCTGCAGTTCTTTGTTTTAATCGAAACTATCACGTAAGCTTTTTGGGGGGTACATGGCACCATTACATCCAAAAAGGCGCTTAAAACGTCATGTTTTTCGCATTAGGAGATATTTGCATTAGAGCGAGATATCAAGGGGTAATATATATTTGAACAAATGCAACCCGTCAGGAAATTTAGGAATGCTTTCAGAAGTATGACCAAGTCATATTTCCCAACAATCACAGTTCCCCGTATGGCGAATTCACCCTACTGATTCGGAACCAAATAGGTCTGGCGGACAGAAGGGGAAAGTCGCTCATCTTCTCTAATCCTGGAGGGAGGAGATTATTTTAATTATATGCTCTCCATCTCAGGAGACTTCGTTCGCCCAAGGAACACGACAACCGATAAAATGCCAGTCAGTACATCGATAGCGGTTCTCACGGGAAAGGTATTTAAATATGAAAAACGGGAAAAAAGACATAGTTGCAAGATTACTCTCTTAACCATCAGAGATGAGACGATCGACAAGATGACTACCAAGATACAAAATAGGACTTTATGTGGAGAAGCAGGACGATTCAGGATTCAAATCACTAAGTGGTCAGTCCTTGGACGGTGCGAGAGTTGGAGTTCGTGAAGAGCGAGAAAGGAAAGAATCTTTTTGTTCCAGACGGCTATGTGCTCATGAAGATCAAAATGAATAGGGACGGACGGGGGAACGTAGTAGGAGTATAACATGAGGTGTTGGAAGTATTGTCCTGTCAATTGCATTGCATTTCAATGGTCAGTCTCCTTTCACGATTAAATCTTAATGAAACTTTCATCGTGTAAGGTTGTCCTGTTGTCATTCTACCTCTTCAGAGGCAAGCAAAAGGGTAGACCATAAATTGATGTCGGGACATGGAGATTGCAGTCTCCATAAAATGTCAGGTATGGGTGGCATTTTATTTTCTGCTATTAATCTTGAGAAAGAAATAGCGTCTTTGGAGCAAAAGCATTCAGACTAGGACTTCACTAGCATCTGGATTTTAGAAAATCCTGAAAGAAGGGAATTAATTCCGTACGAGACCGTGCTGCCGATTGCACTCCATACGCGACCGTGAGACCGCTGATATGTAACATCGGGGAAATAGTCACTAATGGAATTGACCGCGGGGAATTGACCGCAGGGAATTGACCGTCGGGAAATTGAATACGGGGAATTTTTCGGACATCCCAAATTCCAGACCTTGTTCAGATCTCATCTTCATTCAACTTCATCAATTGTGTACTGGTTGGGAGTAGTCATAACACATTTTGTCTAGAAGTTCGTCCAGCTTTTCTACAACAAATATGGACGTAAGAAAGTCAAATGCGACAAGGAATGTCTAATGTGTCGCTGTGCTGGATGCCAGACTTTAGGGAAAAAACTTGTTCGACATAAGAAAGTCAAATGTGACAGTTGAGTGATATTGTGATGTAAACTGTGATACTCTCAAAATTAAACCGTTGATTTCATGGCAAATATTCTTATCTTCATAGTCCAGGATGCAATTTGAACTTCTCATTTAAGTTTCCCGATGACATGATATCCTGATGGGATGAGGAACTCTGAATCCAATATCATGAGTCTCAGGTTCGAACTGCATAAGAAAATCGATCTCTTTCCATGAATCTTGGATTCCAATGGATTCTACATATAGTTTTCACTCTCATGAATTGAAATCAAACAGTGTCCGCATGGCAAATGGAGTAATGAGACCGCATTCACATGCACTTGCAAATTTGCAGTTGAATATTTGAGAGGGTATATCTCTTGGAGCACGACGAAGTGACAAGGCCACAAGTCTCACAACTGTCGAACTTGAATTTCTTTATGTCGAACAAGCTTTTCCCTGAAATCCGACATCCAGCACAGCGACACATAAGACTTTCCTTAGTCACATTTGACTTCCGTTTGTTCATATTTGTCTTAGAAAAGCTATAAATATTTCCCTAAGTGGACGGAGATTACGGTTCGAGCATATTCTTTGCTATTTCAATTCATACAAATGGAATGAAACGTTGTACCGTATATCTTATAGCTTTCCGCGGGTACTCTACTCCACCACAGGTCACTAGGTTCCGCCAGCCGCTGGAAGCGGATGTAGGTACATTGTGATTGTGTATTCGCCTGCACTAAACAAGAAACTTGATTGCAAACCGAGCTGCCCGCTAAATCCGCGTTTCAGATCGATCCAATAGAGTTCATCTGCATCCCGTGCCTAGCTCAAAATCATCTCTTTTATCCAATTCCCGGATGTTCAAAACTCTAACTACATGCCTCAATTGAATGCTACAAGGCGGGTGTACCTGAGAATTTGCATCCATCCAGTTGAGGGTTCCCTGATGACGTCAGGCAGCCCCTATTATTCATGGAAAGTGTGGCACTTTGAAATTCAAACGTTATTCCTTTAATAATTCATTTTCTCTTACTGCTAATTTCAAATTAGACCTGAGTTTATTGATGTCTGTTGTAACGTTGTTATCAGCGAAGCGGATCCCTCTGGACGCGGGTGGGGTGTGGGTATGTATATATCCTTTTCGAGGTTGCATATTCGTCCCCAATGGGATGGTGTTTTTTTATACGAAATGGATGCTATCAAAGTTCAATTTTCATGTTTTTCAGGATTAAGCAGTAGAAAACGTATAATAGATGACAGTGAAACACCATTTGGCGGTTTTTTTGTGTGATGCAATGTTCCCCTCTAGACCACTAGATGGAGATATTGAGTTACCGTTCCTCACAGTACATAGGATAGCCATTCACTCCTTCCCTATGAAATAATGAAGTAGGAAGTGCCTGCCTTTATTCCTACCTGTAATGAGGCGAGGCGAAACACAGTACAACATGACATGATATATCTGAGACCAGTGCCACACCTAAGACAATGACCACTTTTTTTCTTCGTTTTCTTTCTGTCTCGAAATGCAATGTCTCCTCAAATCCTCTAGTATTGTCGAACTTTGGCCTAACGTCTGGCCATATCGAACGACTTCGGATATTATGACCGGGACAGAGCAATGGACAAGAGGAAAGCTTTCCGTTTCTTCCATTGAGTTTCTACGAGGGGTGATCAGAAAAAAAAATTTACAACCAGCGTCCAAGTGTTTCTTTTTATTGCAACCAAGTAATACAGTTGCTGCATAGAGTGCTCAAGGGGTTATACTTTTCAGCATTATTCTCTTGGACTTTGAGGCATTTGTCCCAAAGTGGTAAATGATTTTCAATGTCGGCAATATAAAATTTCACGCATTGTGCAGACCACTATTTTTGCACATCTTTCACTCCCTCAGCATTCGACCGGAAATGCCAGTCACCGAGATGCTTCTTCATGAACGAAAACAGATGGAAATCACTTGGTTGAAGATCAGAGTTGTAGGGTTGACGCTGAAGGACCC